CCCACCCCTTTTTATCCCACCCGGTTTGAAAAAAAAAAAAAAATGAAAAAAAGATCTCGCCCGTTCGTTCTCGGTGCAAAGACGAGGCGAGAGCATGATTTCCCCAAGGCTACGCAGCTTGCTGCTCGATCCTGACAGTTTCCACGCCTCAGGTGACCTCTACACTTGAAACTTCCGCGCGCGCCTGGACTGCGAGTAGTATTTTATTTTTTTATCCCGAATAGTATCGTTTCCAAGTGAGAAACGGACGCGTCGCTGCTCTCAAGGACAATACGGCGCTATGGGCGGCGGCGCGGCCGCGTCGGCTGGAAATCTATTTCGACCGCACTTATGTAACGCTATACGCCGTTAAGAAAGAACAGCTTTTGTTTTCGTTCATTACAAAAGGTTCCCTCCGCTTTATGGGGTCGCGGCGGCGCGTGCGCGCCCGCGGCCTCTGCACAGCCTCGGCGGAAATTCGCCTTTTAGTATTACTTATGTTTCTTTTCTCTCTCTCTTCCCATGTTTTTCTCTCTTTCTCGCTCTATCTCCTTACAAAAAAAAGGAGTTCATATTGAGACGCTCCCCCTAATACACTGGCGTTAAATCAGTCTTGGCCTAGCCTAGAGATATTGGCAGCAATTATGAATTATGTGATGTGCGTGTAAAGCCATTACATGTTTCTTCCCCTCAATTTGAACATTTTCTTTAAAGACTCAAAATAATAAAAAGGCCAAACTCTACAGTAACTTAGCTGCTCGCAAACGCCGTACCTGCCAGAGGCTTGGCTGACGCGATAGGCACATCTTTGATCTTGCTAATTGATAAGCTGCTGACGTAGTTCAGATCTCACAGGCACTTAATCTAATCTCTTTCGTTTAACAATACAAAAAATTGATTGACTGCAGTATCGCAGTATTTACCATAAATTTAAGGTTAAGGTCGCTTAAGGAAGCTTTATAGATCCATTTGGAAAGTTGATGAAGCACTTACGAAAGTGACCTTGGAAAACATGAACAAAACAATTAGAATTCAATTGGCCATCGATTTGTTGTGACTAACAATTGTTTGCTGTTTTTTTCTCGTTCATTTTCAACAATTCATTTGTTGTTTCTTTTCAGGCCAGGACCAGAGGTTCAAGGGACGATCCCTAAAGCTAGACAAAACTCTGCCCTGGTCAAGGAATTTAACATTATGCAACAACAGTGTTCTGCCTCATTCCATCATCATACATAATAACTTAAGTTGGTCTAGCTAGACTCGCTGCCCTTTAATTGTGTAAGGAAAAGTGGTCCATGACAACAGACCATTTCTTGTTGTGCGAGAGTAGATAAGAAAGGAAACGAACCGGAAATTTTTTTGGTCATATTATTTTGTGAAAAAATTATACCGTTGCTTAAGTTACACTTACTTCCTTCCAACTAAACTTTCGCCAAACTAGAAATAGTCAATTCATAATTCAATTCATAATATTTTTTCAATTGAGTTTTTTTCTTTTTATATTTTCTTTCAACTTATTGGTCCTTAAAAATGGCCTTTTTAGTTTTAACAAGCTCTTCGAGGGGTTCGTTCCCTTAGACCACAAAAAGGTTGTGGGCCGGTCTGGTCATGTTAGCCTTATCACAGCAGGACGAGAGACTTACACTAATTTGTCACAGCCAAATCAAATATATTTATATATATAGATTTATATATAGACTGATATATAGATTTATGAACAATCGCGTGGTCTCGCCGAAAGGGGGAACAAAAAACTGCCTTGTCGAAAATTGGGTCTGAGCTGAGACTCTGCACGAGCAGGCTCCTTGGAGCAAGTATTCGCGCTTGCAGGCGCAGGGGGATCCCCACCGCGACGAGCCGAGCTACGAACCTTCGACAAGGCCCTTTTCTTGAAGGCACGGTTGACTTCACGACTCCATGGTGGCCATGAGTCCATGGAACACCAGCCCGCCGGCCTGCTGCGCCTGGCCATGGGCCTGGCTGCAGCTGTAGGGCTGCAGGCTGTGCTGCAGGCTGTGCTGCAGCTGCAGGCTGGCGGCCGGGCTCGCCGCCGCCCCCAGCGCCGCCCCCAGCCCCTGGTCGTCCGCCCCCATGATGCCGAGCCCCAGCGTGCCCATGAGCGGGCCGGGTGCGATGTTTTCCCTGTCGTGGCCGGTGTGTGTGTAGCGGCGGCCGCAGTGGTCGGCGCGGAGGTCCTCGCACGGCAGGGGGGTGTTGGTGTTGGCCAGGGGCACGCGGGGCTTGGTGCGCAGGTACACCTCGTCCTTGAAGTCCTCCAGGGTGTTGGTGGGGTCGGCGAGCGCCAGGGCCAGCGCCCGGCCCTCGTCGTCGGCGTCGGTCCGGTCCAACCGGTCGAGGCGCGGCCGCTTGCTGGGGACGGGGCACCGAGGCGGAGAGGACCCCCGCTTGGCGGCGTCGACGGCGTCCTCGCCGTCGTCGCTCCGGGCGTCGTCCTCGTCGATGGAGGTGATCATGCGTGGGGTGGGCGGCATGTAGAACTGGCTGAGCACGTCCTCGAGCTCCTCCAGCACCAGGTTGGGGGTGGCGGGCTCGGGCGCGCTGGCGGCCGGCGTCGCGGAGGTGGTGGTGGTGGTGGTCGCCGTGGCGGTGACGGTGACGTTCGCGGCGATGGGCGCGGCCACGGCCGGTTCGTCCAGGTCGGCGAACAGCGCGTCCGGGGAGGGCAGGGGCGGGTTGCGCGCCTCGCGCTGCTCGCGCTGCAGCCGCCGCACCGTGTTGTTGATGAGCACGGAGCGGCGCAGCGACGACTCGGGGTCCTCGATGCGCCTCAGCTTGTTGACGCTCATCTTGAGCATCCGCCGGCGCTCCTCCTTGAGCCGGTACTTGGCCGAGATCATGGTGGGCCTGGCGGCCACGGTCACGGCCTCCCTCATCCTGCAACACACACAACACAGCGAGGCGTTAATATCTAATCTCTGCGCCGCATAGTAAGTAAGCACTGCCACTGACTGGGGGGTCAGAGCGAGAGAGTATCGCGCCGAAACGTCTTTCCTCTTCTCACTCCTTCCTTTCCTTGGCGGTGACTGGTGTCACAACGACGCCGTTTCGCTTTTCCTTCCCCCTCTCCTCCCACAACACCAAGCTCTGCACAACAGCGCTCCGTATTAGAGAATGCACTTCTTTTTATTGCTCCTCCCAACAAGTCGGCCGGCGGCGGCGGCCGGGGCGTTAGAGGTGGCCTGCTCCCTCTATATTGCTCCGATACAACATATCGAATTCAGAGCGCGCACGGGGCGGGGCGGGCGGGGCGGGGTGGGGTGTGCGAGCAGCCCCGAGGGGCCCCGCCGCCCCGCCCGGCCGTGTGTCGTGCGGCGTCCCCGCCACGCCCCTTCCTCCCTCCCCCGCACGCACCCACCCACACACACACACACACATCGGAAAGTGAATCGAGATATTTCCTTTTCGCCGTCACGCAAAGAGGCAGCAGGCAAGTTATAATGCACGTCCTGTCTTATCGACCTGTCTGTTGGCAAGCGGGGTGGCGGTGGTGGAGGCGGGGCGGGCCGGGGCGGGCCGGGCCGGCGAGGGTGAAAGGGGGACGACGCTACTCGTGACCCCGGGGGGCTATGTGCGGCAGTGGCGGCGTGGCGGTTTCAATCTACCTTCCTGCCTCTCTAGAGCAGCCTGTCGGCTAAAAGTCGGCAGCGTGTCGGTCGCATGCATATCCTGTCGAGCAGCAGCAGCCCGCCGCGGCAGCCAATGCACGCCACGCCACTCTGCGCCGCCGCCGCGAGCTCGAGGAAATCGAGCCATCAAAAGCGGCCAAGAGAGCCATGGGAAGCGGCAGCAAGCAAGCAAGCAGCGCGATGCACTGCTTGGCCTCCTGGCGGCGCGGCGGCGTGGCGAGCCGCTCCCCAAACAATCACAAGGCGAGGAGGCAGGCGGGCGGGTGGTGGCGGCGCGGCGGTGGTGTGGGGGTCGCGCTCGCCTCGCAGTAGGTCGCCACCCTCTCCTCCTCGTCGCGTCGGCTCCCTCCTCGTGCCGGCCGCCCACGTCGTGATATAGAGCCACGGTTCCCAGCGCCCAGTCCTACCGACGGACCTCGGGCGGCTCCCGGGGAGAACCCGAGCGGTCCTTCGGGCTGGCCCGCCGGCCGCCGGCCGAGGGCGAGGGGGCCTCCATCTCGAGTCGCGAAAGGGACTTGAACAAACCAAAAGGACTCTTTGGAAAAGCTTACGATTTTGTTTCTGTGTCTCAGTTGTTCATTTTCTGTCAAGTTGGGATTCTTTCTATTAACACATTAGCAAATCCTGCGGCAAAATAAGCCAAACAGGGTAGGTCGACGGTCGACACTCACCTTGCCGAGTGACCTGCCGACAATCAACGAAATGCGGGGAAATATTTTCTAAGTTTTAAACTAATTGTTATACTTTGGGCTGTGCTGAGTGTGGCCGTGTTTCGGCCCTGATTTTAAGTTTAATCATAAAATTGGTAAACAATATTTCTTCACGATGGGAGCGATGGCGTTGCCGCAAAGTCAGTCTGTAGGGCAATAATATTGCTCCGTTCTGCCTTTGACTGCAGAAAATGTTTAAGTTCCCGCTGCAAAAAAAAGTTTCCGCAGCGGGTTTCGAACATGAGATATTCCGCTCCGTGGCCGAGTGCGGAACCCCGGAGCCACGGAGGCGGCTGAAGGGATTGCACCTGACAACTCTACTTGAGTGACTAAGGCCCTCCAAGGGTCCCCGTGGTTTCCCCGAGCGCCCCTCCGCCAGGCTCGGCTCGGGGAACCGCTCGGGCCGGGGGGTTCCCGAGCTCCCGTCGGTAGGACCGCGCGGCTGGGAACCGTGGCTCTTTATCGGCTCTAGGCCGCCCTCCTCCTCCTCCTCCCCCCGAGTGAGGGACAAAGCAGCTCGATGAATTAGAGGTCGGTTTGACGTGCTCACAGCCCGGTGGCCGGCCCGGGAGC